ACAGTTGATATGTCACTTTAGGACTCGAACCCAGTATTTTTCGCTTCAAACGCCATCGCCATCCATCGTTGTTTACAATACTTGTGAATTAAGGCTATATCGAGGTAATTCGTACAATATGCACATATGTCAATTAGAGGTTGATCAATTACATTCCTAAACATCAACGGGAAGATTCAAACAAGCAATACTAAGTGAATTTAAACTTCACCCCATTGCACAATCAACTGGCTAACAGGACTCAGTAGCTGAGTCGATAACGCGTTTGAAGCGAAAGGTACTGGGTTCGAGTCCCGGAGTGAACATCAACTCTGAGATGCAGGTACGTCCAACTGACGAGTCCCAAACAGGACGAAACGCGAGTCCTGGATTCCACTGCTAGCCACTATCCATTGTTGCCTAATAATGAATTTATCTAATTGAATTTACTAAGAGTTCATGTATGACGTTATTATTATTATTATTATTATTATTATTATTATTATTATTATTACTCAACTTAAAACCATTACCATCAAAGAAACACAATATAAACCAGTTTTCATTTTATAATTCTATCTAACCTACCCAGATAGAAACTATTCAACTTAAGAAATATTTTTTTTTTAAAAATACGTTTTCATAACTTTATTATTGAAGATTAACCAACTAATCACATTATTTTGTTAGTATTATATTGATCATATGACTTATTATAAATGTAAATTTAATCATTATTCATCTGTAAATAATAGATACCACGAAATTATTGTATTAGTTCAAACTGTTACAATTTACATCAGCATAACATGAGAAAGTACTGGAATGAAGAAAGAAACATTCTAAATAATAATATCAATAGTAGTGGTTAAATTAAATATGAAATTTTATTCAAATTGATAGGATCAAATGAAAAGTATTTAACTAAAGAAGATCAGAAATAAGGTTATTCCAAATGTTGGGAACGATTTTGTACAGTGTGATGAAATTTCTTCAACAGTAGTTTATATTATTGTTACGAACATCTACAACATAGCTCAGAAAAACAGATGATTCCATAGACTGCTAGCATGTTTTAACCTAATCAATACTAGCCTTTTTCAAACCTACATCTTTGTTGGCTAACTAAAATTAGGTATCGTGGTGGACAATAAATGGGAGTGTATAAAATACGTCCCAATTATTTTAGTCTACGATACCCAACAGGTATACAACCCGGTTGCCCAGTTCTAAACATCAAATAGTATTCTTGTGTAGTTTACTGTTAACAAACTTTACAGTGACAATTTGAATTTCATTTAAATTTTCAAATAGTTTCGTCAATCAAACGAGTTTACTTGTTACTTGGATGCTTTGCAATAATCGTCCCCCTGATCTTCTTCTAAACTCATCTCCAGTTTTCTTATAAAGTTCGGTAATTGGCACTTCTAAATTTTACTTACAAACAACGGTACAATAATCGATAGTAAACAGAGAAGACTTTTATCATTGATAAAATAGTTTAAATCATTTTACCGAGGAGCTTAAATTTGGATTCTATCAGATGTAGGATGTCACTTTCTGATAGTCAACAAATTTATGTATTATCTATAATTTAGATACACATATAGTACCACTAAAATGTAACTGATCCCTAGCCAGACCATGAATCATACGGAGCCGTTTTTATGTTAGACAGCGGACCACTGAATATTAAAGTTTACCGAACCTCGTCAAGGTCAAGGATAACCAACGTTGACTAATAATCTGCATGCTATGAACAGCCCAATGAAGCAGAGGTCCCATTATTTACTTCTCTAATGTGTTATTAATGCATGCTGTCGTTCTAGTAAGATTCTATTTGATCTGTACAGTCGCCAAGGTAGCCAATTCCTCTGATTATCACAACAACATGAGCTGTGTTAGGCATCAACCACAAGGTATTGCTTTAACGTAGGCTAGGAGCTCATACTGTTTCCATTCAACTCGAGTGGAACCATCATCCACTTTTACACTTGAAAGTTTTTGTATCACCAATAAGCAATTTTAAAAATATTGAAAAGTTCCGTAGAATTACATTATCTCTAATAATTTACACAGATATATGCAAATGAAATGGTACAAAAATAAGTGAACATTGTAATAGAACACAGAGTTAAATATGTTAGTTTTGTCAGACTAATCATTGGTAAAATTTGTACTCAGTGAGAATATGACACCATACTCTGATCTATTTTCTTTAAAAACCGAAGAAAATACTACTTCCAAATGTGTATATTTTCTTTAATATATACATAAAGGTCACAGTGTTGTGCACAATAATTATCATGTTTTCATTCTTTTTATGTACAAAAAAGAGACAAATAAGCACTCTAAGATCGTGCCTTTAAAAAAAATAGTCTATTTTTAATACAATTTAGTTGAGTAATTATTTATTTAGCATTATGGGTTGGTATTTTTGCCAAATTGTTATATACTGACTACAAAGAATCAATAAATTGCCGATCTAGTTCAATTTATTATTAATTATAACTACTACGACAAATGATAAATTCACGTGTAACTGCCAAAGCAATTATGTTGATAGAAAAATTTACCTTGGATCTCTTCAGTGTTCTAATAGCCCGTAGCTCAAGCAGAATAAGGTGCTTGATAGTTCAATCACAAGACATCAGGTAAATCCATTGAAATCTTTCGATATGATTGGAAAACAGCTAAGTTCTAGCCTTTCTGAACTTATTGAAACTATATTTCTCAAGAGTTGATTTCTATATAATATACATTTATTTGTAAAATTTATTTCCATCATTTTTCACTGTACTTAGATCTATACTATACTACTCTGATATATTATTACCAAATTCTCACTAATTTCATTTCCATGTTAAATACCATTTGAAATCGAAATATGACAGGTTGTACGTGGTAGACGAGAACTTAAATTTTTTAAAATCCATATCGTTCCTGCTCTTTTCAAGCTAATAACTTGTAGATACACTTTCTACCATAAATCCACAAAAGTTGAGAAAACCACTGCTAACAAGATAGGACTGAACAACTATTTCTTTATAGTTTGGCGAATCTTTATAAGTACTCAAATAGAAACCAGCCCCACAAACTTCTAGTCTCGCTGTAATGACACTGCTTTGGCCTACTGAGTCACAATCTTCTTTTTCATGTGAACGACTTCAGTAAATTCGTAACATATTTTTTAAACAACCTCTCGTTATCATCAATAGATAACCGCTACATTTCCGGAATACTTGATCCATAATGATCAATAACGGGTTTCATTATATCAATACAACCGGTAGCAATGGATATTTGTAAAACTATACAGAGAATCGAATGAAGTTAGAACAGTAAAACACAAGGTTTGAACTCATTAAGCTAGTAATATCATAATAACAAGAACCAAGAAGAAACTGCACCCAAACTTTTGCACAGTCATGTGTACACGTCGTTGAAGAATCCTAAACTATGGTGAAATAACTCCTCAACACACAATGGTTCCAAATAGTTCTACGACTGACATATTATCCGTCTATAAATACAAACACCAGTGTATAGATAGACTATTGTTCCTTTCTTTTTATTATTTTATATTTCAAAAGATGATGTACACAGAAAAAAATTACGAAACTATTGCATCAAATAGATTATACAAGCCTAGATAATCTAAAATAATCGTGTAAGTGTATTTCCTTTTTTTATCATAAATATAGTAGTAGAAAGGTAACAAAAGAAAAGTAACAAGATTTTCCTAAGGTACAAATATAAAGCGATGTTAATTAAAGGGAACTTTAAAAAAAAAATACAGATACAGTAATCTCTGGCTGAAGTAGGACGAGGAATTATGTTTTCCATAAATAACTAAAATAATTTCCTGTAAAATAAAAAAATTGATGATCTGATTAGAAAAAAAGAGATAAATAGACAAATACATAAGCAGACAACTTATTAAAACTACACCTCAATGTTCAAAGCGTAATTTCAGATCTTTGTTTTCTGGAAAAAGAAAAATAATAACACAGTTGTTCGCTCATTACACCAAAAGAAATCACATAAAAAATCGATAAAAAACATATAAATAAAGTCAGACGAACCAAAAACGAACAAAACACATGTAGGTAAGAAAAAAAAGATAATTAAATCAAATTCTCATGACAAACAACTTCTAAACAGGCTGAACCCACAACGTCATATCATAGTCAATTACATCAGATTAGTCACGTGATCAATTAGGAAATTACAAATAAAATAATAACAGAGAATTTTGTACGTATCAAAAAACAATATATGCATATAAATATTATTGTGTAATATGCAATGTGTAAAGGTAGACGTATACATTTGGAAAGGATTCAAATTAGATAAGTAAAATGATTAGCTCAAAAAATATATTGAATAGAAATACGAAATAAAATATTCTAAGAACAAAAATATTTCTAAGCAAAAATAGATTCTACATACAAAAAGGTATGGATTTCAGCAGTTAGTTGGTTAGCCAACAGTAACTAATTAAGTAAGGTGGTATTCGATGTCATTCTATCACCAAATAAAAGAACTACAGTACATATAAGGCGACAGACTACATTTTAATTTACCACAACTCTTTCATAGGAAAATATACGAGTATATATTAGTCAATTACTGGCAAGTGAAAAAAGGAAGAAGAAGAAGAACACGAAACAGTAGTACAGAAACAGACAAAAATACTTAACAATGAAAGAAAAATAAACAATCACATATTGACTAGAATGGCAAAATAGAAAACAGATCTGATTTTGTTTTCGTATTTATCTGATTGATCAAAATAGAAAAATGAAAGAATCACTAGTGATAATTATGTTAGAAAAGAAAAAAGGTAAATGGTTGTCAATAAAAGAAAATGATAACTACATCAAAATAAACGCACGCTAAAATAGATTGTTTGGAGCGCTAAAATACAAGTGAAATATATTTATTTATTGATCCATAGTGTAAAAAAGGAAGAAAAAAACCGATAGATTTTATAATTACAGCATTTTTTTTACACAGTTTCAAAGTAAATTCGTGATAGACAATGATCTAGATTGTTCAGGTAATTTGTTTGGTTCTTGTAAGACAGATGTTGTTTTCCCAAGAGTGCATAAAGCTTGCATTACAGCTAGGAATGGAAAGAGAAATAGATTAGAATATATTGTAAAATGACATGTAGATAAAATAGATAGGAATTGAAATAATAATATATTTGTATACAATTAACATGATCAAATAAATCACTCCTGAAAGTTAGCTATAAACGGCCCTCAGTTAGTCTAATGCATTGGTCTAAGTTGTCCTACCACATCAGTACAGTAAGATAAAATTATTAAATTAAGTACCAGAGTAGAAGTGGTATAAGCAGGCAAAGAGAATATTTTTTGAAAAGAAAGAGTGAGTTCACTGAATAATAAGAGATAAAGGGTCATTTTAAAATGCTATTTCTAAGGAAAGGCAAAAAGTGATAGTATTTACACTATTGTAGCCGATTCTGACCCATTGGACATAACGTGTTTAACCATTGTTACAAAAAAATTGGACCGACTCCAATCAAGCACTCTGCACTAACCAACAATCCCTGACTTCATGCTCTGATGCAACGTTTTAGTTTGACCATCCTTTCTCCAAACCTACTAAACGTTGAGTACATGTTGAGGTGGGTAGTAGACAAGCATACGTAATAATAATAGTGCCCCATAACCAGTGTAACAGTAATGATTGGTAAACATTGCAAAATCACTTGGTGAAGAAACTAATAGAACTTACAACCTTAAACTAGTACAAATAATCAAATAAATAATAAATGAATTTCAAACAATAACTAGAAGACGAGTCAGAGATACCACTACACTCAATAAAGTTGGGACATACAAGTGATTTCAGTGGTGCAAGAATCCTCCAAAAAGGTTTTGGTTTTTACAAAGAGAGACTGACAGAAGCGATATATGACCAAAAAACGTTTCCTTCCACCTCCAACCCATTTACACATACATACAACTAACGTAGTCAAGTGATGAATCTCAAAAGACAAACTGTTGGAAGATTTATTCAATTCTTATATATTAATATAGGGGTTTTGCGGGGACTGTTAAATTCTCATAGTTTAAATCGAACTAATCTTACTTAAACAACCATTGGAACCAGGAAACACTGGACATCTATCTCTCCCGAGTAAGAGACCACTCAACAACGTGCACCTACAACCCTACCAAAGACTGAACTCAAGACCTTCAGTGTCGCAACAAGTGCTTAACCTCTAAGTTCCTGGGACGGTGTTTAGTGGCGTGCATGCCTAACTTCAGTCAACCTCCCGTTTCCTGATACGGATCACTGTCTCACACTCAGAATGGTTGGACTTTTCGTGTTATAGCTTCTCGCTATAACGCCAGGAATCGTATCTCGATATGCGAACAATGTTTCGAAGCCACCAAAGATCAAAAGCCAACAGCCTGCGATTCCCGTCACTGTGAAAACACTTAGTATTTTTTAGTACTTTGAGTGGAGACTTGAAAATACTTAATAGGTATTTGTCAAACGGTGATACAGAAGTGAATTTTGAAGACGCTAAATATCTGAAGTGAGGTAATGAGGTGAATTGATTCCTTTATTAACCTAAATGATTCTATATATCGCATGGATCAAAACACTTCTCAACTAGGTATAAAGTGCACACTTCAATAAATATTAAATGTCACCAAGATTTGTGTGCACAGTTCAGAAGCGCGTTCTGGTCTGCTACATGATTTATTAACTACTATTAATTTTTACGGTTTTACATTTTACTACTGTCTATATTCAAAAATGCATTTGACCAATGTCAACTGTTATATTTATTACATGAGCGAATACCTCGATAGTACTTGTAGTTAAATGTTTACCATATGTTGGACGGCGACTAACAAGATTAAACATGTGTCTTTACTTCACTGTGGTATTTAGGAAATATGATAACCTTGAATTGATAGACTATTAAATCAAATTTATGATTGCTTTATTCAAATGGAAACCATAATTTGTTAATTTTAAGTTGATAGACTGTCAGAATTTGTTAAAGTGAAATATGAAGTCAGTTATTAGAGTTGACTTGAAAAAATTACGCAAAACGATAAGGTTCTACACAGACAAGTAAACAATTAAAAGTAACAAACAGTTATAGATTAGAATAAATGAATTACTTCACCCACATTTATTAATAACATTAGAAAACTGATGGTTTTTTTGTTGAAAGGTAATGTAAGTTTTACAAACATACCGTATCAATCTCTACACACACATACAAGCTATATAGATGTGTTCAACGGTTCTTTCAATAGTTAGACATAATTTACATGGATTATTTGTATTCTGTAAACAGTGAATTTATCTGACTAGTTTATGTACACGGTATGAGGCCAACTACTTATAATAATGATGATAATAATAAACACTTTTAGAAAAAGGCAAAATAAATTAAGTATATATAAACTAATGTACAATATCGTGGATTGATTAAAGTTAGATTGGCACAACATCGGATGCCGTCCTATTAGCCTAAGGGTTAAGCGTTTGCGCACGAAATAGAAGGCTATGAATTCGACTCCCGATTCCAGGTGCGTGGATGTGCACTGCTGATGAGTGTCGTACTAGGACGGGATGGCCGCCCAGTGTTTTCTCGTTTTTAACGGCTGTTTAAACTTAGATCTGTTCGATATCTAAACACAATATACAATACTTTAAAACAAAGGAAGAATGTATTCTTTCTAAGATTCACTAATCTTTTTTTGTAATGAGATAGATCAATAAGATTTTGTTCTCCATCGAGCGCGCCCACTTCCAATCGCTCACTAATTATAGATCAGTGATAAGTATGGTCTTACAGAATATATAGTGACGTTTTTATAAAATAATGAAATAGTAATATATATTTGAGATTCGATAACCACTAACTTGACAACATAACTGAAATTAGTAAACTGCGTGGAATTAAAGCAAAAAAAGTAGTATAAGCTGAAATTCGTCTCAATAATACAAATTTCTGAACTTATTGTGAATATTTTAATTTCGAAGATAGTCTATACATCATGTAGACTAATATCAACTAAGAAACAATCGAATATTAAAAGTATTAGGTGGCTTAGGGCTAATCCCAGTCCCAAGCTTGGATAACTGAGGAGAGCTAGGCAATGGGTCAGTAACACCGTCTCGTAGAAAACAACCTTGCTAAAAAAAACGCTAACCAGAATGAACGAATTAAACCATATAAACTATTTATTTATTTATTTGAACACATAAATATTAGTACATAGGGGCACCGAATACATATGCCCTTCACAAGTCACTTGATTTGTGTGCTATGATACTGCTCGGGTGCCCAAACCGAAGGTGGTTTTCTTAGGGGACCACTCCCCGAGCCTTTGACCTAGAAGTCTAATCCACAAGGCAGTGGAGCAACGCTATGAGATGTAGTCTCGTGGTAGCCGGTGACCAACTAAAGATTCATACACCATTTGTTCACTCAGGATAATGGAGCCCATGTGCACCATTGGTTTGGAATCAAGGTTTTCCAACTACCCTAAGTGGATTCTCGGTATCCACTAGCCTGGTTAAAGCGCCGGACATTCGCTTTTCGTTCTCTCAATTTCGTAAACAACAGAAATGCCACGAGAAGGCAGTGAGTAGAACTTCTCTGACAATGGCTGTATGCTAGTGGTCATGTGAGAGCACTTCGAGAGAGAGAACGGACTCTCTCTACCCTCAGCTGTACCAGGACATTTGGGGGCACGTACTGGCATTTTACATACTTTCTTTTGATTTGTTCCTTATAGTTCTTCACTACTACTAAGCATTATCATATTCATCAATTTATTCTAACGCTCTTAAAATTAATTCAACTACTCCTTCATACGCTTCTCCTTTAAATAATAAGTTTATTTTTTTATCACAAAAGAACAATAATAATAAATTATGGTAAAAATTCGATACACATTTAATTGACTTTATTAAGGTAACTTGAATATTGCAGTAATAAAAAATATATAATTATTAAGGAAATTATCAGAAGGGGGTCGTGTGAAGATTTTAGTAATTTTATATAGTTGAAATTAACAATTGCCTAAACAAATACATATTTCATGTTGGATATGATTGGAAAAAGAGAACTGCCAGAATGATTTGAAATTTAATATTGTGACTGCTAGTATTTACTTACCAGCAGCATCAAGATGTTCTCTGATAACGCTCCAATGATTCAAATACTCATGTCAATTAGTATGGTGTTACAGGGGAAAAAATTTAAATTAAACATTAAAAGTTATACGTAACGGTTTATGCAATGATGGACGTAAAGATTAACTACATTTTTAAATTTTCACTTCCCTTTTAACAACTATTGTTTCAATAGTTGTCAAGCATCTTAAAAGTATATACCCTTTAACCGTTAAACAGCAAAGATGTAGCCGAACTAAAAATTAGCATTCAAAAGTGTTTTAATATTGTTTTAAGAAAAGTCATAGAAAGACAAACGATTAGCGGAAAAGTTGAAAAATAAAAGATTTAACAAATACTATATAATCGAACATACCAGGTCTTAGTTGTACCAGGGAACAACTGGCATCTAACCAACCATATACAGATCGGATAAACTGATCACGTGAACTTGAAATTGTTGTATTACAATAAGACTTGAAAATTCTACCAATTATTAAACTAAATATATAAAATTTCCAATTAACTTCAGTTTGTTTCAGCACATATGCACGAAACCATTCAGAATAGTAAGAATTTAAATTTTGATCTGATATTGACCTTGTAGATGATGAATTGGATGGAGGCAATTTTTCACAAAAAAGGCTAATAGCAACAATAAAAAAATAAATGAAGAAAATTGAAATATTATTACTACCATAAAGAACTAGACAACTGACTTTGTTTTAGTGTGTAAATGTCTTGCAATATATAGGTCTAGTGGTTAACCAGACACCAAAGTAACTACACTATTAGTTGGAATATATTGAGTCAAATCTTGATTAAAGAATAAAAGTGACAGGGCTAGAACCATCTAACATGACACATTGAAGATTAGAACTTGAAAATCTCCATCATAGATGGGGTAACTAAGAAAAGATATTACTAAGTAATTCCAACCATCTTAAGCTGATCAAGATAGAAAGAAAATATAGATGCTCACTCCTGAAAAACATCCTAACCTCTGTATTCATAACTGATTATTATTGTTATTACTCAATATAGAGTACGAGTGACAGTTTGAGTATTTAACTCAAGATGAAGATCCAATCAACGTATCTATGACCTGAACGAAACCAGATCATTTCCTCGGGAGTCAGTTTAAGACAATTGTTCATAATCTGAAAATTATAACTCCAATATTTTGAAAGCAACTTTTGAGAGAATTATACCCTGATTATTATCATACGCATTATGTAAGAAACATTTCAAAGATAGGCATAACAATTGGTGCATTTATAAACGGTAACACAGAACTATTTAAAACGATTCAGTTGATTTTCTTGTCAAAATACCATCGAGAACCATGAGAAATCCAAATAAAGATTGTTTGAGCGGAATGCTTTGTAGTGTTTTAGTAATTCTAGCTCCTTTTAATCTTTATATCACTATAGGTATTCATGAGTCTAAAAATATAGGATACCTACCTCAGCTAAAGTTCTAGAAATATTGAGTGAGCTAAGTTGTGTATCGAAATGTCTTAATCAAGATTTTCTGAAGGTGGAGGATCAGCATTTTATTAACTTCATAGATCATCCCATTAAAACCTGTTGGTGATAGTTGGAATAAACTGGAACAGTTTTTATTCATTGTAAAATATAGCTGATACTTAAATTCACTAGTATATTCTGATCACTAGGTTTTGAAATACATATGCTGAGAAGTGTTTGCCTAAGAAACGTACATGATAGTATTCACGATCCATTAGAATACCAACAAGAGATAATAAATTATACATGTGTTTATCAAAGCAAAAGTTATTTTGTTCTCCGTATTCATGGTGTACTGTAATTGCAGCTAATATTAATATAGGCTTTCCAGAGAAGTGGTAGCTAGCCCTAGACCTAGTTTGGTTTGACGTTAGATTCGAACAGTAAATTAAACCAATTTGCTTGCGCCAATCTGTTTAGGACGAATTGGTTGACCACTGAGACAAGATGTGTTTGGAGGAATCTAAAACACAATCTGATTATAGAGATTTCCCAAAACGAGAAACAGACTCATACACACCCACATCATCAGTATCTGGTCGTAATATGATCTACTTGAGTTCGGTATTAAGGTATGGAACACCAGGTAGCAAACTGACGACTGTATTGGTAATTGGTGCTGTCCCGATCAACCATCCGGACGAATATTTTCTGTGTCTGAACACAAAACATGAATGTTGAAGTCGTCCGTTAAAACCCTTGTATCTGTTAAGCGCATTTTATTGAGGCTATTCAATTTATGGTATAATTTGGCAATATTTATATCTGTTATATCTATATCCCTCCCTAGTTACTTTTTAACTTGACTGAACCCTATAGTTAAGCATCAAAGAAATGATCATTATCAGTAATTCAGTCGGTCAATGCGGCTACCGTTCTAGCACTTAGCCTTATGCCTGTTACTTAAAAGGTATCATAGTGTAACCTTTGAAAGCAAGAATTTGAAAAGACAAAATGTGTTTCAGAATAGTCATATTATATTTCACATTGAGGGACATTTTATGAAATAAAAACCATCCAGTAACTGAAAACTTTGAACGGGTCACAACTTTCAACAAATAGATGTTGGATGAGATAAATTATAAAATTAAAATAATAGTAAGTACTAAATGAAAATAAAACGCCGCAGAGATGTAATAACATAGTTAGAGTTGTGAAATGTTTATAGGGAATGTTAGTCGTATTATTCATTTTCAATTGTCATGAATTCTAATGAGCCATGATAGCTTCTATGTACCAAAAATATAACACGTGGTTTTTCTAGAGGACCGTTTCCTTAACCTTTGACCCAAGGACACAACTATGAAGTACTGAAACAGCCACTGAAATAGCCAGTGACCAAATCGGAAATATATCTTATTTATTCATTTAGGATCCTGAAGTTCGTATCTATCTTCTGTTTGGAACTAAAGTTATATACTAATAAATATGTATTTGTTATATCCCCATAAGTAGAAAAATTGTATTTCCGACGTTTCGTGAATTATTGTAAGCCACTTCTGGGTAAATAAGCAACCGACATTACATTAGCATAAGTTTAAAATTGTGTTACTTATTATTAACTCTCTACCCAATGCTCAGTTTATTTGAAACTATCAAGTCCAGCCTTGGTATTGATACCTATAAAGCTATATACGTTCTTTAGAGGAATTCAGGCACGTTTACCTATTTAACAATGGAATACTGATCATATGAAGACATTAAGATTTTCTTATAAGATGTCATAACAGCACTGTAGTACGATAACCTCTTGGAAATGGGAAATTTACTGCCTTCATTCCCATTTGTAGCTAACAACTCTTGTAGTTATAAAATCTTTTAAAATTTAATGAAAACTGACAGTCAATAAACCAGAGACGTTCGACACCATGAAAAAATCTAACTAACGAGTTTCATAACCGATTGTTAAAATAAAGTAACAGATATTTTAGTCGACAGACCTACTAAATTAACAAACAATTTCTAAACTAATATTCATAATCACTAAACAGCCACATCAGTCTTCCCAGTGAATAGTTCATAAGGGTTAGTTAACTGATGGAATGAAATTACATAAAATAAATTGACCATACTTCATTCATTGTTTAAAATGATAACAATTTTTACCACAAGAACCTAATGTTTGAACCTACAAATATTAGATTCGCCCAAAGATACTTGAGAAGCCATATTCAAAAACATGACAATAAAATCAAACAAAATCGCATGTATACGGGTCCTACTGTATACATTAAAACGATATCCATCAGTCAGATGATCTTCTAGGTAGGCTATGTACTAATCAGCTAGCAGAATGCAAGAAGCTGAAAACATTTTTTTATTTAATTCGGAAATAAGTATGGAAAACTAGATTTAGAGAAAAACTAAGGTGACAAACACGTTCAATATAATATGGCAACTCAGTGGCATACATACATTCCTACTTCAATTCACTGAAACAGTGGAATATTCCGCCTGTTTCCTAGTTCTTTGTTTTTAGTTTTCATTACAGTTTCATTCTATTACCTATAAGTTTAGTAAAGTGTGTAAAATTCTTCGTTCAACTAGCCAACCAAATATTATATTATTTCAATATCGTTTAGGTAAATAATGCGAAAAAATCGGTTGACAATTTATGGAATTTCAGTAGACAAGTAATTTCAACTCATAACATAACTACAATGACAATTTTGTAAAGTTTTAACAAACGATATTGAAACCTATTTACATAAATAAACTAATAATTTCTAAAGGTTAAGATAAACCTTTATTAGTTTAACATTCTAAGTGATAAGAGTAAATTTTCTTTATAGAAAAAAAGTCAAAATCAAACTGATCTAGACATGAATGTATAAACTAATCCATTTGGCAGGAACCTTTAGTGATTAGTACTTCTGAAACACCAAAACATTTATATCATTATAAAAATGTTTTAAATAATGCCAACTCTACAGAAAAAGCACACGCTAATAAATAAATAAATAGATATTATTACTGTTGGTGAATAGGGTCTTAATGTGTAGCAGTAAAAGTAAATTTGATTGGTCACAGAGTTTGAACAAACAGGTACTCAACTTACTATTAAATATGTGAACTCCTTTCTCCTTACTAATTTCTACTCCAGACTGACTGAGAGTGACTGCTAGTAATCGTGTGGAATAAAGTATTGTCTAGCGTTACTCTGGTTCCCTATTATTGACCATCTGATATAACATGATCTAGTCTCTGTATTGTGTACAGTTCGAGTATCCAATCTAGCAGTATTATAAACTCAATTACCCAGAACAGTCTTATTATCACATTATTGTATTAGCTTAGTTATACTGTAGAGAGGAAAAATACTTGAAATAACCCGTTATATCAAGTTTGGAATTATTAAAATGAATGAATAGTATACTGACGAATATATGAAAGCAATAACACTATATGGTCAAGTGATGATTGCTCACGAGGCTGGATTTATTGATTCAGAACCCCAAGTGAATTGAGATCAAAGAGAAGACTAATATGGATATAAGAATAGGTCTTTTATCGAATAGAAGAGCATGCTCATAGCAAAATTAATATTTGACAGAACATGATTGGATTGAATCAGTTTTGTAGATCACTCCATAATCAGCTAAGAATTGAAAGTTAGGCTTAATTCCTGACCAGAATATCAGATTTCAAAGAGGTTTCAGATAAATGGCATGTGAATTAGCAGGAAAATAAACTTGCCACAATATTTAACGTTTAGGGAACTCCAATGACATGTGAACACAAAGAAAAAACAGTTGTAAAATGTATTCTCCTGTAGACGAATATTACCAGATGATGATTAAAATTGTACAAAAAAATTGTCATTACTCACAGTTATGGTGATTTGAACTTAATTCTGAGTTCGTTATCCTGAGGTTTCATGACTGGGGAATATATATATGCAGTTTAACAGTTTCCTACGTATTTAACATCCTTTACTGGAAGTGTGTATGTATGTGTGGCTAGTAAACTGGAAATTAACTCACAACAGGAAACAAAAACAAAACATTGTCAAACAGTTAGGACTTTTTGGCACTACAAAATTTACAGATAAATGGATAAATACTATTTGTGTTATTTTAGATTGGTCAGTAAATAAAATATCAAAACAAGATGTAGTGAGAAAAAAATGTAAATCAATATGAATGTAAGCAAAGTTGGGTTAATCACTAGTTTAGGCTACAAATTCGGTTAAACGCAACAACCCCCATATATGGATAAACTAGACCTCAAGATTTAAAGCAAGTAACGAGGTACGGTTGAACATACAACAAAGACGTTGAGACCGAACTGCATACGAACAGTATAATATGTAATGAAGTCAAATTAAAAATCATGTACATAAATTTGACTGGAAATACGCTTACTTAATTGCACTTTTCAAAGCTTTTACTTCCCCCTTAAGATTTGTACACTGTGTCTCCAATACATTTCGCTCATCTCTTAATTTTCGTATTAGCTCTGCAGCACTTCTTAGCGTTGCAGCTTTAGATGCTCGAGCAGTACCACCAACTTCGGTTCCTGAAGATATCATTTGTTCATCAGATGTAAAATCTAACCCATTTGATGGACGTAACCCAACACTAAGCATTTCACTAGGCATATCTGTATCCCCAAATGAATAAGTGCCAGATATAGCAGGCATTTCTAAATTGCTTAGATGCCTGCGAGCTGCCAGACGATTACTACCGCCAATATTATCTAAATTGGAATGCAATTTCAACAGTTGTCGTAGAGTTTGTAAACCAGATTGCATAGATTGGCGTCGTCGTTCTTCAGAGGAATTACCTAGAATATGTTTAGCTTGATCATTTTGTTCCGAAATCGAAGGTGGAGAACACGATGGTGAAGTAGCATACAAAAATCCTTTATGGTTAGAAAACATTGGAGATAAAATTTCTGTACTTCCAAAACTCGATGTAGTAGTTGCTGAACCCTGTACCGAACAACTAGGAATTTGATTATGTTGAAGTGAGAATAAATTCCCAGCTGAACTGGAACGTCCGAGCATTGATGGATTACTTTCGATAATCTTAGATACTATAAAAATGATAATAACACTAGATCAGTTGTTGTATATGAATCCAAAATGGAATAAATAATTAAAAGCATTGCTATTCAGCAAAGTAAAGTTGAATTTTGTATGAGTTGCTTAGATTATCCAAGTATAAGATACTTAAATCAATTGAAGAAAAAAAGACAGAATACAATATTTGAATGCCTTAAAAACAAACACTAAATACTAAACGTCAGGAAATTGGTCGCAGCTTCTGTTGTAACTAAATATTAAACAGAGCTAGTTTTAAAGCTAAATATCAACCCATCGAAAAGTATAAGTTAGGATTGACCGAAAATGAGTGACGACATGGAAGTGGAAAGTAAAATCGCTTGCAGCTCGGAGAAACTTCCCGCTTATAAGCACTGGGTTTCTGCAGGCTCCTTACAACTCGTAGACCGGTCTACTTCCAGTAACCACGAGTTCGGTCATAAATGAAGATTGTTGCGCGATGAAATTATGCAAAATTTGCGTAAGGACCAAGAAGCCTGGTAATCGCAGCGCGCTAACAAGTTGAAGGCATCAGCTGAATTTGGTAACTGCCGGAATTTCTTTCAACTCACCCAAGACACCGGTGGCAAGAAGCATGATGTTAGTGAAACAATCTGTGAAGCTGATGGGATGCCAACCAACAGCATCTAACATCGTCTTGGACGATGAGTATGGTTTTACGAGGAACAGCTCAGCTGGTTTGCTGCTCCTGCGACACCGTTCAAACTGTTGTTTCCACCATGGCAAGTGACAGATGACCCACCCAGCAAAGCGAAAGTTTGCAAGGAACTCCAACTCTTGAAGTGCCACAAATCACCAGACCCAGATGACTTACCTTCGGCCCTTTTTAAAGATAGTGGCGGCCTACTGGCTAAGGAACTGACTGAGTTTTTTCCAAACGGATAAATTTAAAGTGTCCTAACATCTTCGATTGAGACGATAGTTGTTTCCATCTTTAAAAAGGGATCATGCCATCTATGCAACAACTATCGAGAGATAAGCCTACTTCCGACTGCATCCAAATTATTGGTTTCTGACATACTTCGTAGATTGTTCAAAACCCGAGAAAGATTGACTCACGAGAAGCAGGCTGTTATCCGTTCTGGTTGAGTATGTACTGACTACATTTTCACCCCTCATCAAATGTTAGAACACCGTCACACTCATCACAGGCCAGCAATTGTGATGTTTCTCGACATCAGGGCCGCATTCGATTCGTTGGACGGGACTGTTCTCTTAGGTTTTCTATTGAAGAAGCGTTTGCCTGAGAAATTTATTAACATCTTGGAAGCCCTATATATAAGCATTTCAGGCAAAGTGAGGGCATACAACCACCTTTCTCCACTTTTTCATTCAGGCAATGAGATTAGGTAGGGTTGCCCAATCTCACCGTTTCTCTTCAACGTTGCCATCAATGATTTGCTGGAAACAGCTCTGATGGATGTAGGTAATCTATCTGTTGCCTGGAGAAAGGCTTCTTGACCTTGAATATGCGGATGATATTATCTTACTGTGTGATGATACTCAAGCCAACCAATCTACACCTAATCAGTTGGCAATCAGTGTCTGTATGCATGGTATGTGCTCTGCACCTTCTCAGTGCAAAGTGCTTTTACAAAACTGGCAGAACTCCGTACTTGTACTCACTCTTGGTGGTGAGCAGTTAGTAGTTGAGAAGTTCGTGTATCTAGGTAGCTGCGTATGTATTGATGGTAGCGTGAGTGATGGAATCAATATACGTATAGTGAAAGCCAGAGCGGCTTGTGCCAATCTGGGCTATATTTGGTGCCTTCCTGATGTTAGTCCGGCTGTAAAAGGTCGAGTCTACAATGGGTCGGTGAGAGCAGTTTCGCTCTATGTTGAAGATGTTAGACAACTCTGTGTTTGATCATCATTGTCTCCGAAGGATTGCTGACATTCAGTGGCAACATCATGTTAATAATGCAGAGGTAATTTATTATACCCACTTTTTTATCCATCTTTTTACAACCAATCTTTGTTTAAGTAAAATAAATAAATATTTAATACAAGCCATAAATTCATTTCCTTGAAAAATAACTAGATTGTCAATTATCAATACAAAAAACAGTTGTAAAAACGGACGCGGTATTAAGTCTTATATTTAGAGGAAACACAAATTAAATAGGTATTCCGGTGATTGAACTATCTTGCTACTACTGCTACTGCTACTATATTGCTCAAACTTTTGTAGTATGCAAATATTCTACCATCAGTTTACAGTAGGTTGTAGAAAGAATGATCGAGGTTGACAACTGAACAAAAGTGTCACAAACCTAGTTGTGTGTAATACATAAAATCTTAGATTTAATGGCAGAAATACTCAGAACATTTAATGAATCTCTTGCCTTAAAAATTATAGAAATGCAATGACTAATGAACTATTTAGGCAATTGATGAATTCAAGAAAAAGAACACTAATACAATATCGACACACCCACTGAAATCACAGTCGATAATCAACTGTGTTATTAAAGATATCTACCTACCTAGTAAATATAATGAATGAATAATCTGCTTAAGTCTCCAGCTCATAAATCATGAAAACTGGCCGGTATTACGTGAGATTCATCGGTGTCATCTATAAGACTATTAACTGCAACAGTTAGAACCATTAGTTTGGTGATGACATAGTAAGCTGCACCAATGGATTGTCACTAACTACTTTCAATATATTAACCCATAAAAATTGTATGTTTTCGGTTAGACCGAACAAACAGTTGCATATGCTAATAAAGGCTAAAGTAATCTCAAGCAGATTTTCTCAATTTATTTGTCCCAAAAAAGAGCTTTGTTTCACAGCAGAATTAGAACTTGGTCAAATGAATATTTTTTATCCGTAGACCTACCGTTTAAACATTTATCACTTGTGAGTGATGCTTTAGGAAGTTGATCCATATCATTTAGTGTAATATTGGTTACATGTGGAAAAATCTGTGGTTCAGTCCAACTTCCAGGTACCAAAGTTTCCAGCTCAGAATTAGAATCTTCTGTGTATGCATTCCTAATCACACTACTTGGTAGAGCAAACATGTTCGATTCTGAAAGAGAACTAATAGGGATTGTGCACGAACCAGAATTACGACTGGAGAAATTAAAACCTGTATTTGATGAAACAGAAAGATTTCCATGGATTTGTGTAGAAAGCCCATTATTTCCTTTGAAAATAAGGGTGGAGTTTTGTGAATTCTGAGAAGGAACAGTGCTGACATTAACCAAATAATTTGGGTTTCCCTGCGTACTGTCTAAGGCAGAGCCCTTTGGATCCAAAGTTTGTACGTTTGAATTTTTTCGTTCTAACGGTAGACCAAGAGACTTATGTAAATCCACTGAGCTTTGTTGAGAAATCACTTCAGTGTTATTGAAGTATTTATTGGAACTTCGCATTAAAAGGTCATTAACACCAAAGCTAATGGGTTCCGTTCTGCAATTTTTTACCAAAAGATTATGAGAGATTAGAAAAGATGAACCATCAGCTCGAGATACAGTTGGTGTCAAAACAGACAAATCGGGCTCATGATTCTGAGTTACGGAACAGTCACTAGATCCCCCATAGTTAGCCACTGGAACTGATATATTCTAAAATAAGAATGCAGTAAAAAAGGTCATATGACAAATAAATCGATGAACTATTGAGTCATTTGGACAAAATTATCAAAAACTATACTTCATTAATGCGGAAAATCACATTTCAAGGAAACTTAATGCAACACAAAATTATTTAGGCATCTACTCTATTCAGTTAAATGAAATAATTTGTGTTTTACTTGAAGGAATGGTTTGCTAGATAATTAAAACAGAACCTGATTAGATAGTACACTATGGCGACATCAAAATAATGTGCTACTATTAATTATTCTAAAGACATTGTTCTGTAAACATCATCTTGAAATTCTTGTCGGTCATAGTAGAATGGTGAGTGAAATCTCTTGTGGTTTTCATTGGCTTGCTTCATGAGCATTGTCACTGAGGTGTTTGTTTGTCTAACAGAGGGTAAATATACCGAAAGTCGGTTCTCTAAAGTTGATTTTATTTATTTATCTATTCAAAGACATAAACATAGGTTTAAAAGGACACCAAAATATATATACATTACGTCAAGTAGTTATGATTCAATTTGTGCGTAGGCTAGGATACTCCTCCAGCGCCAAGATCGAAGCAGGTGGTTTTCTTAGGGGACCACTCCCCGAGCCAATGACCTAGAGGTCTAATCCACAAGGCAGTGGAGCGACGTTATGAGATGCAGTCTCGTGGTAGTCGGTGACCAACCATAGGTTCATACATCATTTATTCCTTAGCGATCCCGTAGCCTATGTTAGCCATTGGTTTGGAATCAGGGTTTTCCAACTCTTCTTGGTGGGTCCTCCGTCACCCGTTGAGGATATACACAGGTTGATATTATTTCATTACCGGTGTATTTAAAGTATTGCTCGTAGATGACGGCATCAATAAGCCAGTAACGCACATCTTAGGCGCAGAATTTATTTGTTCATTTATTTGGACACATAAATAGTGGTACAAAGGGGGTACCAGATATATGTGCGCCACACCAAAAAATTGTCATCTCATTTAATTGTGTGAGGGCTATGATACTCCCCGAGTGCCCAAGCCGAAATATGTGGTTTCCTCAGGGGGCCACCCCCCGGGCCCTTGATCTAGAAGTCTAATCCACAAGGCAGTGGAGCAACGTTATGAGATGTAGTCCCATGGTAGTTGATGACCAACTATAGGTTCATATATGCTAAAAAATTGTATTAAACTCAGAAAGAACCAACTATAATGCTTCTGAGTGTATAATGCACTCACTGTTTACCAAACACCAGAGATGTCCATGAGATAAATGCATAACAGTTGAAAATCAATATGTTAGATCCTGTAGCATTTCAGACTCCTAACAATATAACTGAAGGTTCACCTCAGATCTAAGAACTAAATACACATCAATCATAGACTTCAAGGTCTAGAAAATTTAAAATCGTGCTTAACTGAAATACGACGGCACAAAACCATTTTACGGTTCTTCAGTTAACTAATTATCTCACAGTAAACAATAAAACAAGCCACAAAGTTTAAATATACAACAACTATTACCAAAATTACCCGTACTGAAAAAAAACTAGTTTTTAATGAAACTGATAAAAACTAAAACAACTTACATCCGCAACATTCAGTGAATTAATCCTGGGGATGTCAACATTCTGTACTGTGTTTATCGAAGTAATAGATGAATTATCATTGTATGAATAACCAGAATGAGTGTAAGAATCTGAGAATCCTTTTGTATTTGTAAGAAGATTGGAGCCTTTTTTGGCCTGAACTGACTTATTTGATGAATCGTTGAGGTGGATTAGATGTTTGTTGGGTGAACTATCAAAGCACTTTCCTGAATTGCTTAAAGCATTACAAAGTAAGGGAGATGAACACTTTGAAGTTTCCTGAAATGCACTAGTGTCCATGCAATCACTGGGCGAGTTCGAATTTTGACTAATGCTACTACCACGCAGTAAGGCATTTAAAAGAGCAGATTTGTTTGTATGATCGCCTTTTTCTTTATTCGATTCTACACAATAACCAAACGATTGTATGGGTTCAGCCACGTGACCTTTTGTGTGTATTGAACCTGTAGTTAATCCATATTTTGATTCCATGCCAACAGAATGGTTGCTGCTTTGGTGTTGACCAGCAACTCTGGGTTGATGTAGGAAGTAGCGCTTGTGAGACACAGGAAGCGATGGTCGATAAGGATGGGGACCATGGTAATCTGCTTCACTAACACTGTTATTTAAATAAGGTCCACACCCTTCACTACTGGTGGTAGCCAAATTCAAAAGACCAGATTTAAGATTACCTGACAAAAATGAGGAGCAGATTTGGGAAGAAGAGTCGACTACGCCAAGACGCTCAACAAGAGGTAGGTTACGACTTTGTTTGGTCCCTGGAAGAGGTAAAGTTGTGCTTGAGAATGTTGCTTCATATATATATTTGTTAAATTGGTAGTCCGAGCTAGACCATGTATATTCACACGAGTGTGCATCAGAAGAGCTACATTGAAATGTCGAATAGGGCTCAACAGACTGAAAAATATTACACGATATATCGTTACATGAACTTCTATCTGGTTGAAGTTGTTGCAAACCTGGTTGCATTATGTCGGCGTTTCCCAAGATAGGTAAATCTCGTCGATTTGGAAATGTTATCGGTTGATCAAGAAACAAATCTAGATTCTCGTCTATGTCCATCATTATTTCCTCCATAAGTTTTGAAGACGTATTCTTTGATAGGTCACTGAATTGATAAGGACATAGATCCGACCCTTCGAGTAGTTCATTGGCACATTGTATAATTTGTCTGTTTTGAGATGTGTATATCCTGTTTTTAGCAAATACTCTCCAAAGACTATACTCCTTACGCAAGGTACTTAAGCGCCTTTTCCAATATTTTCCTTCTAATATTACGGCCTGTAAAAACAATATCAGGAGTTTTATAAAATTACTTCAGTTTTAGAATGATCTTCATATATAGGTGTTTGGAATTGAACAACAACTGGTTTTAATTTTTTGACATCTAAAAGCGATTAAATAAACAGAAACTTACATTGCATGTGATATTCTCTCCAAACTATGTTGTTGAGTCGGATTTTATATTTTATTGCAAATCTTAGTCCACGAAATTTGTCCCATTTCGGGCTAGTCAGCTTTCCACTGTAAGCAATCTCCAAATACTTAAAAAGTGAAGCTAGGTTCTCAAAAATCAGCCTGTTTTTATCTCTAACAGTTGACTGATTACTGTTATCTATGGAACTGTATCCAGTGACGTTTTCAGTCAATACATTATTCGAATCTTCTGTCTCATCCTCAGAATCTTCAAGAATGCTAACCATAAAATGACCTGAATGAACTTCATGAGTTTTCAAATCCATGGCAGATAAATTAAAACCTCGGGCTAGCTTAACCTTTGTTTACGCAATCTCAGCAACTCTAAATGAATTGTTATGTCCAGCCGTTAATAAGTTTATGTTTCGAAAGTAGCCCCGTTGTTGTTACTGCTGAAAAGAAGTGAAGAAAAGTGTGATAATTCGGCAGCGGAAGTTTGACAGGTCTATCACAAGGTTCCAGAAAAGGGAAGAACAAATGAGGATGTCAAACAAAGGTGTATCGACAATTTACATTGCATGGTGAAGGCAAGTGTAGACAATGGGTGACGTACAAGAGCGAATTTAAGACACGGGTAACCAAAAACCCAATAAAATAAAGATTTGAACGTCACTTAGCTTTCTTAATAAAAAAAAACAATGTCCAAATTACCTGTGGGACCTTGAAAAGTGTCAACCAGTTGCTTATGAGACCAGTCGGCGAATAACACGAGGTTATAGGTGCTGTTAGTGGTTTGCTCCAACAAAGGCCCAGATCAATAAAGGCGAGCATCAATAAGGGCGACTTATACAAGAGCATGCGTCGAAAGGGTGATAAACAAAAATAACTACCAGTTAGTTTTAAAATGACCTAATTAGGTAGTGATTGCAGTTGCAAGAAGACAAGACGCCTACTCCAAGAAACCTACAAAACTGGGAGGCCTCAGTGATCAGTCTTTTTGAGCTGTCCGTGGAATCCCTACAATTCCCTATGAAAGGTCCTTCTAAGATGAATGAGACGACGAGGGGTATAGAGATTCAATCCAGCTTATCTCAGAATACAAAAATTTATCGATGCTCAAAAGAAGGGACAGTCTAAACGACAAGAAAAACGAAGTTTCTTGCAGGGACCTTGTGACAACACGTTAAGCAAAAATAAGTAGCTGTAAAAAAATCTGTGTTGAGATTATGAGAAGAGATTGATGCTACAAGAATGAGATGAAATATATTGCAATTTGAATTTATACATTTGGACATAAGACTTACGAAAATTTACACAAATAACACTTAAATCATGTTTCATTATTAAGCAGCTCTCTCAATACGCAACCAGATTTCATCCCTGACAGTCATTTGACTGACCTCATAAAAGCAACCCACATAAAGGATATATGACATAATAGCTAGCTTTAATATTATCGAGGGATTCGACAAAAGTTGTCCTACTTTTTTTAAAACCAAAGGAAACTGAAAACCTTACAAACCACGGAAACAACTGACCCGCGGGGCTTTTCAAAGGCAAGGTCACAAAATACTGAATAAAACTAATATCAAATATTGATGTGCGAGTTGGTATCGGACAAATAATTCCTAATACGTTTACTCGAAGTAAGGGTATGCTTTTATGTATGTAATAAGGCTCGGTTAACCAAAAGAATGCAACAGTCTTAGAGAGAAATTATTCTAATGGCTCAAATAGTTCAGGACGAAATAGAAGCTTTCGCTTGATGGGCTTTCGTATCTAATAAACGTGAATCACCGATGCCAACATGTAGAAACCTAGGCATATTTAACGACACAAGAGGAGAAATATTAGTAGATGGTAACGAGTCCTTAAGAATATGTCAAACTATTTCTTAAATGACTCCTGAGAAGTCGCCAGGACTAAGAGAGCCAGGAATAAATCACGGTATTTGACCACTCTTAAGGTGTAGAGGGTGTCCCAAAATTTTCAACACTTCGTCCAGAACAAAAAATAAAGTTACAATCTGCGGTCAGTATCAAATGTCGAAAACTGACAGAGCGATTGATAATGAGGGTTTATTCACATCTACAGACCACTACCCCCACCCTAGTGGGGGGGTGACAGCCCTAAGACGTGGCTAGTCAGAAGTTTACGCCCAACGAGTTTGTCTTTGGTAAACACTCCTCTGAAAGCGTGTTATGTTCGGCAGCGTCTGGTCGTCTTTCCTTTCTATAAGAGATCGTGTGATGCAATATGGTAACGAAAAACATGTGCAATAAAAATTTTGATTCATCATGAACGTCTTTTTTTATGTTTTCCAGCAGTCCCGGTGAAGAAAAAAATGATATGTAAGCGGATTTCAAATTACACTCGTACGTGCGCAAAGACACTAAAAAGGCAAAAAAGAAAAATAAACCCATATACATGAGTTTCGTAAAGATGCAATAGCGCCAAAGCGATATCTGAAGAATGTTTCTTGGTTTGTCTTAAAATAAATTAAGATATACACATACAAGCCAAGTCAACAAACAAAAGAATTCGGTTTTTAGAATAGATATGTGTAAAGCATATTAAAAATAATTTTTCCACATAATACAAAAAAATGGAGGCGAAACAAAATGTTATGTAGTGTCTTACGTGCAGTAATCATTTAGGTGTTCTGGACACCTTACTCTTTTTCGAGAATGCGCTGTTTTGAGTCTGTTGTCACATACTGCCGAAGTGTCATCACGATTTTTAGTTATTCGGGAGGAGTCGTAAATGTGAACTCCATGTCTTTCCATTGCACCGAGTAGACTCTACACGAATAGGGTTTCATTCTAAATACGCGGCTTTGATGCGATTGATGCTTATGCCATCGTTAGTTACATCCTTATCGATTATATAGTACTTAGGTCACCTCGAAGAACTTTAAAGAGTCCTTCGTATGCCGTTTTGAGAAGTCTTCAAAGTGAGTCGCAGCGTACAAAGACGTGTGTATTATATCGTAAGTCAGGATGAACGAATGCATCAGTTGATTGCGATCGAATGTAGACAGGTTTAACTGAACTCATTGCGTTCGTAGGCCTGCTCATGTAAAAGTTTGCATACATACTCCTCGAAGAAGGTAGAGTATCTATGAATTCTTCTGGGAGTCGAAGTGTCGTTTCATAAGCGAGTTGGACTGCAGTGTATCCAATGTCAGTTTTCACTGCATTGCAAATGCTGAGTGAAACGAGTGAAAGGGCGTCGGCCCATTGTGAAACACTTGAAGCTGAGAGTGAAGCATTAAGCCTCCGGTGAAAGCATTCTACCATCCCGTTTGGTTGTATGTTAGGTGGTCGTCCGGAATCAAGTGATTTCTAATGGTGTAGTTAGACGACGGGGAAGTTCAGATTCAAACTGGCGTCCATGGTCTGTAGTGATAGTTGAGAAGTAGCCGAAGTTTTCTACCCACCGCTCGAGAAAGGCGCGGGCCACCGTTTCAACAGTAATGTCCTTGATAGGTACTGTTTCTAGCCATCGATTGAAACAGTCTACACAATTTAGGAGATAAGAGTATTCATTCGGATATGGTAAAGGTCCTACCAAATCCAGATGAACATAATCAAAACGGACATTAGGGGATTGGAACGAGCCTAAAATACATCTGTTGTGTCTGTTGCAGAACATCAACGTTGATGTTCTATGTCGAAATGATTGGGGGCCTACTATAGTTAGACGAGAATGGTGGCGAACCAACTAACGCTGAAGTCACACCTCGCGACAGGCCCTTACGTGGTTTGAACCATCGACGCATCAAAGGATCATGGATGCTATGGAGACTGTACAACACAAAGGACGTTATTACAAGAATATATTAGTTAAGATACAATTACGGAAGTACAGAAGTGAAAGAGCAACCACTGCCGCTTGGGCCAGTTCATGGCATATGATTGATTGATGCGCGTTTACTATCCTTGACCTTGACAGGGATCAATGATCTGTTCGATATTCAGTGACATTTCACCTACCCTACACTATAAACCTTAGACCTCTGGCAGATTACACAGGAGCGTGCCCACTTCCTCACGTCTTTGATCATACTAGGCCAGCTAAACTGTTCTTCTATAAGCTTGATGGATGCACGCACACCTGGATGGGAAAGTTTGTGCAACGTATTGAAGATGTTGCGCCGATAATGTTTCGACAAGATTGAACGATCTCTACCTGTAGATGTGTCACATAGTAAGGTGTCCTTACCTGTTCCCATATGCTTAATGCACAGTTTAAGTTTGTTGAAGATAACTCGTGCTGAAGATCAGTGTTTTCTTTTTGAAGCTGGATGAGTTTAGGAAGGTCAATTCCTTGGACATTGTTCAAGGAAGTTATACGAGACAAGGCGTCTGCGACTAGATTGTTTGCTCCAGAAACGTGTTTTATATCTGAAGTAAACCGCAAAATACAGTCAAGTTGTTCAGACTCTCGAGTAAAGTACTTGTCTGAGGATGAGCTTGAAGAGAAGGTAAGAGGTTTATAATCGGCAAAAAATGTGAATTCTCTTCCTTCGATAGAGTGTTGGAAATGCCGTACAGCACAATATATAGCTAGTAGTTCCCTACCGAAAGTTGTGTACTTTGATTCAGTGTCTAACAACCGTCTCGAGAAAAATGCTATATGTTGCCAAGAGTCGTTAACCCATTGTCGTAACACTCAGTATAATTATGGTCTACTTCGTTATTAATACTATTATAATAATAGACCTAATCCTAAAATTGTAGATATGTCATGATGTGAAAACCTAACCCATAACAATATATATATATGCGACCCTACCTTGTATTTTGCTCTTCTATCTTCTCAAACATGAATACCATAGACAAGATAAGAGTACAAGATGTCCAAAGACGCTTCACACGCCGACTGCTAGAATGTGACTCCACTCCCAACTACACAGGTAAATGTAAGCACCTCTCCTTAGAACCTTTATGTTACCGTTGACTAAGAAACAATCTAATATTTCTCTACAAAGCAATGTATGGACTCGCATTTCCAACCTTCTGCCCAACAATGATCCATGACCCAGTCTACAGACTGGGAAACAACACATATACACTTCTTACAGCAAAACACCGAAAATCAATGCTTTTTAAGTTCTCTACACTTCAGTATAGTTTATTGTGGAATGGGTTGCCAATACATATCCATAACTATGGCATTATCACCAAGTTCAAAAGACCAATAACACTGTTACTAGACACTAAAGAGCTTAGTCAACTATTCCCTGAAATTCTGCTCATCAATGAGGCACTTTATTATGGACAGCCTGAAATCTAAACAGATCATGAATATAACCCATTGTCAT